CCCCTCCTTTTCCCCCCTCCTTTTCCCCCTCTCCATCCCATCCCCAACCAAATAAAATCAAACCAACAAATAAAAAAGGCAAAACAAAAAACAAACAAACAAAAACTAGACAAAAAACCTTATACCTTAGGAAGCTCATAACTATGTGTGCAAGAATACTCAAACGATTAATCTTTTAAAAGAACTTCAGTGCCTGAATTTTTTTTTTAATATCCTTAAGGAAAATGTTTCAAGAATTTATTCCAAGGCTAGTATTTCTTGGTAGCTGTAGTCCTTATTTTTGTGTGAAATACTGAGTGAACTACAGCAATGTTCTTTGCTTCAATATGCTTTCCTCCTCAAAATTCATGTGAGGTAGTAAGTGTTCAAATGTGCACAATGAGTAAAAGTATTCAAATTCATTGGCAAAAAAAAAATCACAGTATTTTCAGACTGTAGCTTCTAAGTTCTTGAGCATGGTCGTGATTTTAAGATGAAGGAAAAAAGCTCACAGTTGGCATTGTACAGAAGTTCCTGAAATACACTTCTTTCGTGACTCCTTTGCCCGTTTCCTGGTTAGTACGTTCTGTCCTCTCTGTTAATTGATCTGACCAAACCAGCCTTTGTTTCTATGCTGTAGTGAGTTAACTTATAAAGCCTAACGGAGAAGAGAATAGCAACAGTAATTTCTTAGGCCTTCAGTTCTGAGTTGCACTCTCTCACCATCTCTTTGCAGTTGCATTCTCTTATTTATACTTGTGTGAGTTATCAGTTTAAGACCTGAAGATTTCAGCAATCTTGTAGATGTGGCAAGTCACAGCATCGTTCTGATACTGTGTTTGCTTCAAGGCAAAAGAACCTATACATCTCTATTCTTTCCTCCACTCGTGACGTTATCTGGCAAATTAGCTGTTTTGGTACATAGGTAAACACTCAAGACTTTGCATTGTTCAGGAAGATGCTGTTTATCTCTCTTAGAAATTCGCAAAGGTGAAACAGTGACAATTTTGGCGCAAAGCAGATATGAAGGTTGCAAATTCAAATTCCATTGTTCTTCAGTGAAAGCATCTTTGCACTGTTTAACTAGTTCTGTACCAATGAACTCTGTGCTTTCTCTGTCAGAGCTGAGCAGATGGCCAGTGTTCAAAATGCCCAAAAAGATGGCTCAAGTGATAGGGCTGACTTCTGGAGAACACGTGGCCAGCGATCTGGAGTGAAGAAAAATCTGAGGAAGAGTCGTGAAGATCTGACAGCTATTGTATCTGTCAGCACAAAATTCCCAGCTTATGAGCGAGTTCAGTTGCGTGAGGGTAAGTGAAACTGCTGTGAGCCACCTGCCCATTTATTGCTGGCTGGTTTAGCGTCCAAATGTTTGGTCAGCTAAGTGATTTTTAACCACTTGGATTGAATGTTACATTTGAGCAACATGAAGAGATTAAATTTTTCTCAGAATGCAAATTTCTGGATGCTATTAACTACTCTAAGAAAAAAGTTTTTTACATTTTTAAACTGCCGCTGTTCTCCTTCGCGTCCAAGTTACGTGTGCCAATTTCAAGGTTGTCACCGTTTAAGGCTGGGCCAGCGCTTACAGCGGGTGGCAGATGCTCTCTGTTAACCCCGGCCTTTCCCAGAAGGGGAAGGAGAGGAGAAAAGGGAGAGAGACTGGTGGGTTGAAACTTAAAAGAAACTTTAATAAAGCAATAGTAGTGAAAAGGGTATAAATAATATTAAAACTAACACTACTAATAATAGAAATAGAATATACAAAACCAATATTGCCCTTCCCGATGATGACTGCGGGACTGCGTACCGTGCCCTGGCAGCTCGCAGTGCTGACAGGGCAGGGCAGGCACCCGAACCTCCCAGAACTCGACTGCACAGCAGGTGGGAAACCAGATTCAGGGATGCACGGATCGGGGTCGGAGGGAGGGGAGCGAGCCGAGCCCCACCAAG